CTACATAATCCGATCTTCTCCTTTGGCGCTCCATCCTTCGCTCTGAGACGATCGACCGAGATCCTAATTACTCGACACACTCCTAGCTACAGCGAGTGTTCCAAGTAAATAACGACACGGCGTACACTACCGAACGTTGCGTGAAAACTAAAATTTTATACGATACGATCGTCGAGTAGATTTCAAACTTGTGTTCAAAATTCGTACTAAAGAGGTTCGTTTTTCTCGAAGGTGTCAACGATAGGATCATCGAATATAAACACGCTGGATTTTCCTCGAGTATAATAATATACGCTAGGCGACGCGCGCTGACTCTCTTTCTCTCTCGAGAAATCGCGGAAATCACCATCAAATCGAATGAATTTGCATTTTTTACGCGCGATCGATTGCGCGCTCGCTTCGAGGCTGCAGGAGCTGCCCGCGACGACGATAATATAATACAACGCTCGTCGTATATGTTTTTAAACATACACTGTGCCACGAACTCATTGAACTTATATATTTCATTTCGCCCATTCGTGATTATATTACGTACGGTATCTATAAACGTATTTATACAAGTTCGTATAGATGTTCTGCGCGCGACGTATCGATCGTGCAGGTGGTTGCCGCTCGCAAGTCGCATATACTCGTCCCGCGCGGCGGCGGCAAACTACTCTGATCTATGTCTGCACGCGTATATAGGAAGTAGACACACTATAGAGCTAGCTAGCTAGGCTGCGACGCAGGGCTCGCAAGAGCAAGAGTCGAGCTTTTTTTCTTCTTCCTGTCTAGACGAAGAGTTATTATTTCGAAATTTGTTACGCGCGCCCGCTATATACGGAGCTCGCACACGGAACTGAACGAAGATGGACGTGCGCGCGACTATTTATGGGGGTACTATATCGAATTTTAATCGAAAAAAAAAAGGAAAGAAAGGATGAATTTAAGCTCGAATGTCGAACGCGCGGCTATATATCGAGTGGAATCGAAGAGTTCTTCGTTGTAAATTCGAATCGCAGAAATCACATACGACGACGAGGACCATAGACACTTTACTAATGAACGGATTTTCAGTTTCGCAATCGTCATAGTACAGTTGTATGACAATCGTTGCTTTCCGATATAATACGAACAATATGTATTATACGCGTGTATAGACGCTCACGGGCTTGCGCAAGCTTCTCTCTGGCGATACAAGCGTTTTTATTCTTCTTCTTTATTTTGCGCATAAATGCTGATGCAACGAAATCGAATTTCAAAGTTGCATTACACGAACAGACGCACACACACACACACACACATGCATAGAAGTATACACAGAATAATGTATGTATTATATAGGCACGTCTGCACGGAAACACATGTCTCGAAGCGGCAATATATATATTTTTACATTGGCCGAGCGTCAATGCCGTGCCTTGTATGCATGTGCGCGCGCGCGCCAAACGAACGATGAGCACAGATCCTATATGCTGTAGCTATATATAGCAGTTAATAGGCAGGCGCAGTGCACTAATCACACGTATTGGCTTTCGCCATTGAGCCACGCGCTTGGATGTGTACTATACGCTGACTCGCGCGGACCCGCACGTGACACGATCGCGACTGTATTACAGCTTTCGAACGTCGCGAGGTAAACGCGCGAGTCACTGAGACTCATCTATCTCGAAATTCCTCTCTCTCCTTGAAGTGTTCGATCTTGTGAGATATTATGTGCTGCAACATCGTGGAATAATCGATCGCGCGATTATCTCGTAATACATAATCGACGATCACAATTTTTACGAAAGATTCGGCTATGCAGCGCAGGTGTATAAAAATGTATCGTACACAGTCCAATAGGTGTATGCGAGCAGTTGACGCGCGAATCATCGCAGAGATCGCTCGTAATTATTCATCGTGTACACTGCAAGCTCGGTTTCAGTCGGAGAGGCACGATTCGCGATGTAATTCAACCGTGTGCGACGCCGATGATTTTCGTTCAAAAAATTTTCGCTCATCATTGCGATGTCTGTGCACAGTTTATTAGACACATCGAACGAAATTATAATCGACGGTCGGGCGTACGATCGTGATCTCACTTACGAGATTTGAGAAAAAACACGCAGGTTCTACCTAGATTGTTACAAAAAAAAAACCTTCACGCGGTTATAATGTGAGATCTGACGTCAATGCACTTCATTGAAAATTTAATCTATTATTTGAATTTAAATATATACACTGAAAATTAATGTTCCAATAGAGATTTAGTTTTTGCGCCAATCGCTCATAAACGTGTGAGACTACGATGATTATTAATGCTATGTTTCCACCACTAGGTGGCGAGTACTTTCATCTGTTAATCTGCAAGTAGAAAAGTAAAGATAATTGTATAAGGCTAAGAATGTTTTAGACCTATATCAATTGTATGCGTCAACTACTCTAACGGCCTGAAAATTCATAAGTAAAGAAACGGCTTCTGTATATACAATACACTCGTACACGCATGCGGGATTATGCAGAGATCACGCGGTGAATCATCATTGCGTATCCATACACGCAGGATCGCCACAGCTTATATTATTATTATTAATGCCTAGCGCCAGTCTGCCACGATTATATCAGCGAAAACGAAGAGTAAAACGTGTGTGTGTGTGTGTGTGTGTGTGTGTGTGTGTGTGTGTGTGTGTGTGTGTGTGTGTGTGTGTGTGTGTGTGTGTGTGTGTGTGTGTGTGTGTGTGTGTGTGTGTGTGTGTGTGTGTGTGTGTGTGTGTGTGTGTGTGTGTGTGTGTGTGTGTGTGTGTGTGTGTGTGTGTGTGTGTGTGTGTGTGTGTGTGTGTGTGTGTGTGTGTGTGTGTGTGTGTGTGTGTGTGTGTGTGTGTGTGTGTGTGTGTGTGTGTGTGTGTGTGTGTGTGTGTGTGTGTGTGTGTGTGTGTGTGTGTGTGTGTGTGTGTGTGTGTGTGTGTGTGTGTGTGTGTGTGTGTGTGTGTGTGTGTGTGTGTGTGTGTGTGTGTGTGTGTGTGTGTGTGTGTGTGTGTGTGTGTGTGTGTGTGTGTGTGTGTGTGTGTGTGTGTGTGTGTGTGTGTGTGTGTGTGTGTGTGTGTGTGTGTGTGTGTGTGTGTGTGTGTGTGTGTGTGTGTGTGTGTGTGTGTGTGTGTGTGTGTGTGTGTGTGTGTGTGTATACGTCGATACTCGCCTGCGTACACACATATACATTGGTATTCACGCACGTGAATGCATTTCTAGTCTCGCGGCGCGCACCTCGTGCGCCTGAATACATACATATAGTGGGCCTGCACACACATACTCACATACACACACGATGGTATGTGTGTGGGTGTGCAATGCAATCAGAGCTCGCTTAATAATGTTCGCGTATACGCGAGCACGGCAGTGGCTTACCCTCCTATTACGCTCGTGCACAACATATATAGCTATATCAAGTGTGTATGTGTGTGTGCGTTGCGCCTTGGCGTTATCGCTTTCGCTATATATACGATGATGACGCCGTATGTATGTGTTAATGCGAAAATGTACATTTAATCTCTCTCTCTCTAGCCGTGCGCAGCGCAACCCCCTACACACACTGAGACCTGCATTTATATACGGCGAGTTTACCTGGCGTTCACGTTTTCAGCCGTATAACTAGTGTTCAAGCGAGCGAGCATCTAATACTTCTCTCTCTCTCCGCGTGTGTAGATATATATAGGGTATAAACGAGCCCGCGCACACATACATACAGGGACGGACGCAGAAACTAACGAGCTGCCGAGAGAGAGAAAGGTGGTGTGTTTCCGCGAGGGGGTGCACGCACGCACACACACACATACACATGCGCACCCGCGACAGCCATAGATCTTTATGCGCTACACAACGTGTACGTACTAGGCGATGGCCTGCGTCACGCGAGGAATAGGCGGAGACTCCAAAAATAGAAGTAGCCAAGCACGCATATCGTGCGCTGCACATACGCGCGCGCGTATATAGCATTGAGCCAACGTACTGCACGGGGGTTCACGGGTGGTGCGAGCGGAGCTATATACGGGCAGCGTGTATATTAACGGCGCGAGCTGCGATGGCGGCCAGTCTCGAGCTCGATCGCGCGAGCTTGCGCCAAGCGCGAGCCGATGTTACACCCTTAGGTCCTAAATACGTATCTTGTATACCCGATGGAAATAACTCAACACGAATCATTGACGTAATGTTCGAAAATTAAACATTTGAAATGTTTTGAAAAAAAATTACCACTATTTGGATGGCCTTTATGGTTTTTCTGATACAAATATTGAGAGCATTTTAAATTACCTAAAAATGACAATTTAACCGCTTCAACAAATTTAGTTCAGTTTTCTATCACTTTAGCTACGATGATACTACTTCATATCTCCGCCACTAGACGGCGAGTACCTTTACTTCTGTAAATCTGCAAATTGCAAAGTCAAAATAATTGTATATATCTCCCTTTCTACTTTTTTTAAAGAGCTAATGATGTATATGCTATCGTTTGTTCACAAACTTATTACTTGCGATCACGAGCCAATTGAATACGTGTTTGCTTATTTTGTTCGGTGGATGAACAATTCCAAAATCGTTTAACATCCTAAAACTAATGAAAATATACAATTAAAGAGAATTCCACAAATTTTGCAGTCATCCGACCTATTGCGCATGTAACACGATCGAGACAAAAGGAAAAGATATCATTTATCTGCAAAAAATTCTTTACAATACTCCTCACATCTAAACGCATGTGCATAAATTATAATCTTATTAGGTATTACACATGTGTGATAGTCGATTTTTCAAATTTTAAATTCATTACTCTTTCTCGACGATCATAGCATTACTTTTTTAATTTAAAACTTCTTCGTGATATTTAAAGAAATATATTTATTATTTAATAGATAGAAGATCAAAAATGTAACTTCTACAATATTGTGCTAAGACTTTGCTTTGCTATGTTTACAAATTTCTTTATCCAATCAGTAGTACTATGAATAGTAAATATTGTCAAATCGAATTTCAGTTAGCTAGTTTGAAACATTCAAATATCAGTCGTTCACGATCAAATGAAAATGATGGAACCAAGTACTACATTTAACTTTGCTGTCAGGTAACTTTTTCATTGCGAGAATAAAAATACAATTAATTAAAATATTATAAAATAATACTCTACGTTACTGCCATTTTTCAGGGTAAAAGATGAACCTGCAGATGGATGGCAGAGTGAAAATAATTTTGAGATTTCTGACACGACTCCTGATACTTCAGTGAGGGTTGATAATTTTTTCACGATTCGTATTATAAAGCATTTCTGACAATAATTTTTATGTAAATGTGATGTTATTTCAGACTCGTGTGCTTCAAGAGAATGACGAAAATTCTGATGTTGATGACAGAATAGAGATAATTCTTGAATGTGAAGACGTGAAGCTGGATATGAAATTACTCGTAGTTAAGAAGAATGAAGAGGACTCTTCACAATACTTGCAAGATACGGATGGTAACAACTATAATCAAACTCATAAAAAAGTTAAAATAGAACCTGCAGACGAAGTGAAAAAGGAAATAGATCTGAATTTCAACAATGAACTCATCCAGGCGCTTGATACACGCGAAAAATCATTTACCCGAGAAAGTGTTTTAAAACGGAAAGTTGAATCATCGCATAGTATAACCTATTCATGTGACAAATGCGGAAAGGCATACTCAACTAAGAGTAATCTCAAAACTCACATAGATTCTGTGCACAAAGATGTCACTTATGAATGTAATAAATGTAGAAAGTCATTTTCACGAAAGGATAGTCTCAAAAAACATATTAGGACGATGCACAATGGTGTGAAACATGCATGTGATATATGCCCAAAGACATTCAGTACAAAGACTAATCTCAAAAACCACATCGATTTCGCGCACAATAAAATTACGCATGCGTGTGATACTTGTGGAAAAGCATTTCTCCATAAATACAGTCTCAAAAAGCATATGAATGTGGTGCATAGTAGTATCACACACGCATGCGATGTGTGTGGAAAGACGTTCAAGTACCAAAATACACTCAAATTCCACGTCGATGTAGTACACAATGGTGTCACATATACGTGCGATATGTGCAGAAAGGCATTCACGCTAAAAGAAAATCTCAAAAAACATATTAGGACGATGCACAATGGTGTGAAACATGCATGTGATATATGCCCAAAGACATTCTGCACAAAGACTAATCTCAAAGTCCACATCGATTCCGTGCACAATAAAATTACATACGCATGTGATATTTGTGAAAAGACATTCTCAACTAAAGGTAACCTCAGATGCCATATGGATGAAATGCATAATAGTATCACATATGCATGCGATGCGTGTGGAAAGACGTTCAAGCGCAAATATAAACTCAAATTCCACGTCGATGTAGTACACAATGGTATCACTTATGAATGTAATGAATGTGGAAAGTCATTTGTACGAAAGAATACTCTTCAAAGACATATCAATACGTTGCACAATGGTGATGCTCATCCGTGTGTTGCACGTGGAAAGACATTCGCTCGAAAGAGTGAACTCAAAAATCATATGAATGCGAAGCACAAGGATGTCAATCATCGATGCGATGTATGTCAAAAGACATTTGCGCGAAAAGACAATCTTCGAATCCACGTTAATGCAATGCACAAAGGTGTTACTTTTCCATGCAATGTTTGCGGAAAGAAATTTTTATATAAAACCAACCTCAATAGGCACGTTAGATCGCCGCATATTGGTAAAACTTAAGAACGCATTAAATTTATAAATTTAAATTGTGACAAAATTGACGATATACGATATAATGTATATTTTTAGAAAATTAATCAAAAATTTTTAATTTATAACAATATCATGGATTTTTATCAACGTTGATGTATTATTGTTGTCTACAATGTTTCAAAATAAATTTTTGACGAAAAGTTAATCATACTATTTATTGTTAATTGATCTGAATAATATGGTTACCTTTATTGCAAATTAACTCTATACAATTCGTGAAATGAGTAAATCTGACTCATTAATTTCATCACATATACGTATATAACTTATCGGAGTACTGGACACGAATAACTTCTAACGTTATTTAGCCCATTACTTTTTCATAATAATGTATGAGGATTATAAAGATTCCTCGCACACAATACCAGTGCACATACATATATACCAGCGGTCGCGCGCGAGAATCGGACTTGAATAATTGAAATACCTCGCCGGAATGCGAGCTATACGTAAGACGTGTATTACGTTGTGTGTACGCGCGCGCGCGAGGGGATACATATCGCCGACTCTCGATCTCGAGTATATAATACACTTTCTGCACGCCGCGCGGCGGACGGCGCATCGTGTCTCTCTCGCTGTACACACATTTCTACGATCCTTTTTTTCGCTCGTGTTACGTATTTTTGCGCTTTCGCGCGCACACCTCGCAGTCAGCTCGAACGTCTAGCTGCTGTTTTTTTTTGGTCGACATCGTCTTCGAACCCCGTCGTCACGATGTATGTACACGATGAAGTACACGATGTATTGAGAACTAGCAGCTGTCCGCGGAACCACACAGCCCCATTATTTTTTTTAGTCCTGTTAGACAGGGTGTCGGTCTACGTTTTGCCAACGCGGCGCGTCTATTTTCGCTTCCGTCACGTTGCGGCCGTGACGAGTGACGCAGGTATATAATGTGTTTGGGTGTGTGTGTGTGTGTGTGTGTGTGAGCTTGCAAGCTCGCGTCCGGGGAAAAATAGACACTGACGCAAAAGACGCGTCGATTACATGGATTCCGGTATGAAATATTCATCCCCTTCGTATAATAGCTGTGCGGTCGATCAAAATATCCTTTGGCGCTTTCGGATAAACAGGTATACGCATCAAGCAAATTTGAAAAGCTCGACAGCTTCTCATACTCGCGCTTTGCTAAGTAAGTACGTCTTGTAATCGATCCGAGAGGACAGCAACTATATACAGTACTAAAAAAGGACGAGCTAAACCTCAGGTCGCTCACTCCAGCAAGGATATAATATATAATGTAACGATCCTCGAGCGCTTCGTAGAATTACACACACGGACAGTGTGTCTGCATGAACGCGACTTTTATGCGCGAAAAACACGAGTCCTCCGCGTCTTTCGGCAAAGTGTGTAGGTGTACGACACGGCGACGAGTTTGTTTATACATTTTTACGAGGGCCATGTACGTATAACGGCATCGCCGCCGCCGCCGCCGCATGTGCGGCGGATAAGGTCGCGCGCAATAAAGCCTCGGATCGTATACCCTTACTCGTAGTATGGAGCAGCAGCAGCGCAGCTCGAACTACCCTGGAAATAAATACATGTATAGATAATATAGCTCGAGGTGGAATATGGCCGAGGTGCAAAGCAAATGACCCGGAGTCGTAAAATTCGCGCTCAGCGCAACCTATATGCCCCGCGCGGTGCCTGCAATTTCGCCGCCCTGTGTGTATATTATATACCCAGCTCGCGCGCGCGCGCTAAATGAGTTCAAAAGTGTAGCGCGCGCGTGTGTGTGTAGGAAAAATACAAGAGTCGAAGATATAATTTGAGAGAGCGAGAGAGACCAGCGACGGCGTACGGTTTTAATTTTCTCCATAAGCCATGAGTCCATATAGGTAGCATGTAATGTACATTGCAGCGCTACACGATTACGTTTAATGCTGCCAGGAAAGAGCAAGAGAGAGAGCTTAAAATATACTCGCGAATACGCTGATGGTGGCGGTGGCACAGGGTAGGCAATATTACCGATGGCAATATTTTTCTTCTCTCCTTTTTTTTTCCTTACGCCCTCCCGCTATAGTATACACGAGGCGCCTTATCTAATCAAACGAGCTCCGAGAAAAAGTAACGTATATATATATTCCTTTTTCTAACTACCACAGGCCGTACTTATATACATTCTATACCATACACGTATATGTACGCAGGCCTGTCTACTGCTTTCCATGCAATCCTTCATCGGGCCGAGCCATAATATAACGCAAAAAAAAGCAGCAGCGAGCGAACGAGCGAAGGAAAAAAATGGTCACGACGTACTATGTGCACCTAGGCGGGCGCGCGCGCTATAGGGTAGAGGCGCCGGAAAAGGGCGCAGTATAACGAGTGAGTGGGTGGTGTGTGCATACACACACACGCACAGACACGTACGCGTGTGTATGTATATTATCAGCATGTTATACGTTTACGTGCATTAGAGCAGAGTCTCGCTCGCTCGCTGCTGCTGGTCAGGAAAGGCTTGAGTGGCGTTTCTACGAGGGAATCGCGTGACCGTGCGCTGCTCCTAGGCCTCGCGAGCCGAGCGAGACTTCTCTTTGTACGATGCCGATCATCGTATACATACATACATAAACGTGAAGCAAACTACGTGCGTGTGTGTGTTGGTATACCGATCGATATGCACACACGGAATAACTCGCACAAAACGCACACACACGTGCACGGTATATCTATACAGGGAACGAGGAGGACGAGCTATTATATAGCTTAGAGCTCGCGCGCGGGCGAGCGCCTGTATATAATGAAGCGACGGCGGCGCAGCAGCGGCGGCAGATCGTTAGTTGCGATAGGCTAGCTCGCGAGCAGTCGAGCTCCAAAGTACCTTGGCCCGTGAGCGAGCGAGCGAGAGAGAGAGAGAGAGCTCCGTACGTATTACTACCAGGTACTGCGCTAATGCTACTATTGGCGAGCTCGCGCAGCTTAGCTTCGCGAGCGCAGGTACACCGTGCTATTATAAGTATAACCATGTGTGCGCAGGACTGCGAGAGCTGAAGCATCGAAGATATCGTGGACGCGGCAAGAAACGGCAGCGTTTATTTTAACTTTTGGAAAAATCGGTTGAGCGCGTAAAAAATTTTGACGCGTCCAAAGGTGAAATATCGATGAAAAAAAAAGTAACAACCGATCGGTACGAGTACTTATGCAGAATAAGGCGAACTTCAATTTCAACTTTTTCCCCCCCACGAGCACGAGAGTTCGTCGTCGTCGTCGCCATCGCATGTCGGTTATCGCTCCGGACGATCTCTTTGCGGCGATAATGACTCGTGCATATAGCTATATATGACTAGTGCAGCAAATGTATAGGATATTTTTTACGACGCCCACACACTATGACATATGCTTATGTGTGTGTGAGTGTGCGTGGGACGAGGCTAGTAAATTATTTCGCCTGTATGCCTGATAGAAATGCTCAGCATTTTAAGGCTAATTTTTGGCTGGCAAAAAATTATCTTAGTTATAAAGAAGCTTTTTGAGTCGGACATACGCTAAGCGGAAGTGTAACGTTTTTGAAATAATCATTTTTTGACTGTATAAAATCGTTATCTGCACTTGGAAACTCGCGAATAGAAATAATTTTAATATTGCAAACTATGACAGTATTGTTGTACTACATGCTGAGACTTATACAATTATTTTTACTTAGCCACTTACAGATTTACATGCAAAGATACTAGCCATCTAGTGGTAAAATTTGGCATTATCCGTATTTGAAGCGATTGAAAACTTATCTAAATGTTTTGAAACAGTTCAACTGTTAGGTTTCAGGTTTTCTTATTTACAGTGGCGGATTAGAAAAAGTGACGTACCACGCCAATTTTTATTTGCCGCTCAAACTCGGAAAATTAAAATCGAAGCATATTTAAAATAGGATTGTAGAAAGTACTAAGAAAAGTGATGTATCGATTGGGAGAGCCTCTAATAATTTTAAAGAATGTAAAAAACACTTATTGATTTAAATTGAATAATTCAATAGTTTCAACGTTTGTTTTTTCAGTAAAAAATTATTGCTATACTGTTTACGTCTCTCTTGGCAGCAATCATCAGTGTCCATTCGCGCATTTATCAAAATCTTTCAATAAGTCGGCTTTGATCAATTTAGGGTCGGGTATTATCAACTGACGTTTATAAACAGTCCAGTAGCCAGCTAAACACTCGCCCATTTACAATTCCAAACAAGACGCGAAAAAATTGTCGGTCGATCGTTGCATGGGCCAAACAATTCACGGAGAATAGAAATGAGTAATTGTCTGGTTATAAAATAAACCGCGATCTATAACGACAGTGAAAAAAGGTATAATGATAATATTTGATAGCATAAGGTTCAAGTAAGACACAATCATATGGGCACAATTTTTATTTGGATATTAAAATAGCTTGGACTTGAATATGTATATGAGTTATCTATACATATTCACAATTGTCAAGAAATGCAATTGCCATTGCGCATATCGACGCTATTAAGGAAGACTAGCACGTTTACATTTAAAAATGTATAGAAACGTGCTACTCTTCCTTAACAGCGTCGATAAATTTTCGATTGTGAGAAAAAAGCGTATTCATCACATACGTAATCATAACAAACTTCGAGAATTATCCGATAGCTAGTTTCTGAGAATTCTGTAGACTGTTTTTCGGTTTCAACTTAAATTCGATGTCGAGGTAAAAATAATCTCAATGATCTTTGTGAACTATCATTTGATGAATCAGCAAATTCTCTTTTCGTTAAAATTTTTTCTGACATTTGTCGCATGTGTAATCTTTACGACGCTCATGAACTATCCTTTGGTGTCTAATCAATTTCGATTTTCCCCAAATTTCATATCGCACTTGTCGCATGCAAAATCTTTGTGATTTTCGTGGATTGTCTTTTGGTGTGTGGTCAAATTATATTTATGTCCAAATTTCTTCTCGCATTTGTCGAATGCGTAATTTTTGCAATTTTCGTGGACCGTCTTTTGGTGTTTGGACAAATGTTCTTTTCGTCCAAATTTCTTCTCGCATCGG